TATGCCAGTGAAAAAAGGTAGGTAGGAGTGAACAGCTGAAAGGGGCAAGAGAATAAGACTATAAAAAGGTCCATGATAGGCAGGGGATTAAACAGCTTTGGGGTGGGGAAATGCTGGTAATTACAGTATTTTGTTGCATATATATGCACACTTCCTCCTAACACCAACTGGGGGAATACAGGGATGCATTATATGTGTGAAATATGAATCTCCAGGGTTTTGGAGACCCAGTGATGGTGAGTGGTGGTAGCTATAATTGCCGTGGCTCCCAGAGTGGATCTGGGAGCCACCGCAGTTAACACTGCCACTGCTCCAGTGCTGCCGTATCTCTGGACCCCTGTGGAGTGCCCCAGCTGGTTGACATGGCACTACATGCTGGCCCGATCCAGTACATAGGGGCTGTTTGCAGCCTAACGTACAGCTTGAAGTCAGGCCCTGGCATACAGCCCCAGAGACACCTCCCATGCCTCAGTTTCTTTTTAGTCCTAGGTAAGATCTTCATTCCTACTTGGGGGCCTTCCAGAAGCAGAGAAAATAGGGTGTTTAGAAGTTATCCTTTAGTCAGGGTGGCAGTCTTCATAGATGTGCTAGAGAAGAAACTGTTAAGAACCCAAAGCAGGGGTGGCCAGGCTGTGTCGTGTGTGCTGCAGGCAGCACAAGGAGCCTCCGTGTGTGGCATACTGCAGATTTAAGCAGGGAGCACAGTGACAGATTGGGTAAGGGAGGGGGATTAGGATGAAATTGGCACTCAAGAAGGATGTAGGGATAGTTTGTGGCATGCCTGCCAAAAAGGTTGGCCCCCACTGACTTGCAGCATAGTAGCGAAGGATGTCCCAGTCAGGATTAGGTCTACAGGCACATGGAGAAACAGAGGGTATGTCTTAAAGATGAGAGAGACTGTGATGTAGTAATAATGCAGACATACGGATTGAAACAAATTAATGGGAGGTGACAAAGGTCAGTTAGGTTGGAGGGGAGAGAGAGGCTACCCTGCTTCCAACAATCGCGGTGGTAAAAGTCAAGATACCTGGCATCCTTTAGTTTCTCATTGAAGGTGGAAGCTTGCAAGCAGGATCCAGGAAGGGCTTTTAATAGTTTTGCAGCTCCGTTTCTCACAAGAGCATGTCTCTTAAGCATGCTAGGGGTGTATCTTATTTTTGCCTAATATTCCTATTCCTGTCTACCAGGTCTCCAGGAATTTTTCACAGCTTGACTCTTAACGAGGATTCAGTGTGGATCAGAAGGTATTTTTGTGCCATTAAAGGGGTAACTAATTTGGTTAGCAGTGTTCAGTCTTTTGGCCCCAGGGGCTGAGTCCCAGAATCAGTGCCCACCTGGGACCTTATGCAGCCTTGGCTTGGGCTTTATCTAGTGCACAGGACCACACTGTCCAGCCACAAGTCGAGCAGTTTGGTAGTTGAGGTTACTCTGTACCCCTGTGGTCACTTTCAGACCCTTTAGGGAGCCCTGCAGGCTGGATAACATAGGCCAGAGGTTGAGCACCTTTGAATTTGGTAAAAGATGGCTTACCACCAAATACAGAGAAGCTTCTTCAACAATGCTCTCATTAGAAAGGCGGATCTTTAGTGGGAACAACGGAGTTCAATTTTTATGTAAATAGAAAGATAGCTGCTTTAAAACTACTGAAGAGAGTAGTTGGCTCAGAGGGAGGATATAAGCTTAAGCTATCAGCAGATCTGCCACTAAAAAAATTCAAGGCTCTTTCAGTCTCCATGATGTTTTGGGGAAGTAGCAGTAGAATTAGCAAGTATGAACAGAGTAACTTACTGTAAACCCAGCACAGATTGTGCAGCTCTTCCAAGCTGTGGGAGGATGTTGCAAACGTAGAGTGTAGGCTGTATGTTAACTGAATCTATCAAATATCGAAATGGCTGCTGTCAAGGGAGAAAACAAAACCTAATTTATGTGCCTTTAAACTTAGAGAAAGTAACATAATACATGATTGTCTTAATATTTGCACGGCTTGCAAAGTAGCCTAATAGCAGTAGTACTTAAACACACTCTTCAAAGGTCAGAAAGGTTATATAAGGAGTTCAAGTCCAGTCCCACTTCTTTAACTAATGAGGGTTGAAGCTGCACTTGTGCTCTGGATTAGCAGTATTTGCATCACTTGCTCCTCTTTGCTCAGACAAAGTGACTGCTGTGAACTGAATGAGACACTAGTTTGAAAGACAGTGATTCAGAGAAATAAAGCCTCTAGAAGGAAGGAGAAGCCTCGCTTTGCGAATGAGTCATACTGTGGCTGTTTATATCTTTCCACCTTATACATATGTTGAGCTTGAAAAGAGTTCTCTGAAATAGTTCAGTATTAGGGCTTTATAGGACTCTGGACACAGAATTCAACCAATATAATATTTTTATCTTTAAATCTGTAAATAAACTGCAAGTAACGCTAACTTAATGTTTTGGAAATTATACCATGTGTCTTTAAGTAATCCATGTGCTGGTAAAATATTTCCAGCATGACAAACATGGACTGAATTCCTTGATTCATGAAATAACCATAGTGAAGACACTGACAATGCAAGCAGCCAATCCAAGACTTAAGCCTACACCCACGAATGAGAGGGAGCCATTAATTTAGTTTTGTGGCCAGCAAGGATTTTGTGACTAAGGGGCTGTGATGTAAAAGAATATGGTTACTAGACCACAGACTGAGAAGCCATACGCATTTTACCTACGTAACTAAATGCCTGTCTGATACCAACTGCTGTTAGCTGCTAACTTGGGCTGAATTTAAACTCTTTAAGTGAGAAAACTGTACACAATTATTAATTCATAGAACCCTAGCTAGTTTCCTAAATGGAAAAAAAAGGCTTATTATGGAAATGTATTATATTAGAAGTGTGGTGTGATAGTCCCAAGTTTACACTCAGAGAAGAGACCTTTAGCTAGTGCTCTAACACAGCTAATATTATCAAGTACTTCTTGTCTATACATTTAGATATACTGACATATAGCCTGAAATACAGAAGCACTGACTTGCATAGTACAGTTCTGCAGTGATTGGATCATTAAACTGAAATTTAAAAATGTCAGAGAAGCTTTTTAAGTTTTTGAATCTGAGATCCTAGCTCCTTCAGTATATTGCTCAGTAAAATCAAACTTCATACTGTTGTTAATGTACCTAATGAAACATCACAAGCTAGGTTCTGATCTGCACTACATTTGCTAAGTAATTTTGGGGGGAAAAGATATTAAGCATGTTTTAGCATAATTTTTTTGATGTGGACTAAATCAAAACTTTAATAAATTGAGTGCTTGGCATCACATTAGAATGGCCTCTTGCCTATCATATATGGGCAGTATATTTTCCTATGATCCCAGTTCAGTGGGGTAAGTAAATTTATATGAAGACATAATTTGGCTTAAAGGAAACAAATCCTCTGAATATCGCATGTTCTGACTCCACATAATCCTGCTCTCCTTTATGCTGCTGTAAAATCTGTACTTTAAATTTCTCATCTCTTTCAATTGAAGCGATAGTTTTCTCTGTATAAATAGATGTGGAGTTGAGATGCCATTTTTCAGACAACAGTAGCAAAGGTGTGAATTGTGTCCGTTTCAGCACAAAACATCAAGCTGCTTCTTAAACGGCCTTAAAACCCTAATTGCTTCTGTTTGGCAGAATGGTGGTGTATGGTGATGCATTAGATAGAAAAATGTATTATTGCCGGGGCATTGGCAGTGCCCTTGTCTCCCCTGTGGCACAAGGTGGTATGTATATTTGTGGTTTGGGTGAGCGGTTTTGTTTGGGTGTTTTTTTTTTTGTTTTTTGTTTTTTTCCCCAACTCTTTTGATGAATAGTTGCCTGAAGACATGGGACAGGACTCAGTGGCCCAAGATCCCTTTCCAGTCTGGTGCTCCTAAGTAGAAGCAGGTTCCCAGCCCTACAGTGTAGTAATCCATTTTGTACTTTAACCGTTAGAGAATACTGGTTTATTCAGATTATTGGGGGATAGGGGTGGGGGTGGAAATCAGTCTCTGTTTTTCCCTTCCAGTGAAAATCCCAACTGCAGTGCTTATTGGCGGAGAGAGCCACTGTATTTCAGATCCATCCCTGACACAGTGTCAGGACTTTCTCGTTGTCCTCTGCCTGATAGGTTTACATATTTAATTTCAACCAAAAGTGAATCATAACTTGCAAAGCTTTACTAAACCACTTGGTTCATTTTTCAGAAAAATGCCTTAAAGATGCCGGTTTAATACTTAGCAGACCTTCTACTTAAGTATTCTTCGTGTGACTGATTATTTTCCTGTTGATCTAGTTATAGGTGAGGAAGAAGACATGTAGGGACCTACCTAAATCATGGCAAGACGAGGTTTTTTGCGGCAGTGATTGGCAGAGAGGCCCATGGGGGAGGGATAAGGGGACGGCTGTCATCTTGCTTGCTGTCTGCCCTTTGTGCTGCCACCCTACCACTCAGCACTGATTTGTGGAGAGGTCCTTGAGGCAGGAGGGATGAGGGGGCAGCTGCCATCTTGCTTGCCAGCTGCCCTTCGTGCTGCCCCACTTCTCATCACTGACTGGCAGAGGCCTCAGTTGGGGAGGGAGGAACCAGGGGACAGATTCTCGTAGTTAGTTGTTTAGTGTTGGTAGCTTAAATGCTCAAGTTAATGCACTCTTGCACTGAACTTAGCTTTCACATAAAATTGTTTCTTTCAGAAAGGGCGCTGACACCACCATGTGTCTTGCTAAGACTCTATGTAAAAATATATTAGCAAAAGATTGCAGGGTCCTTTGTAGCTATATTGCAATTAACACTACCTTTCGACTCCTCTGGTAGTCTTTGAATTTTCCATCTCAAGGCAAAAGAATAAAAAGAATTAATCTGTGTCTAGCACGTTTTAAGCCAATGAGCTCCTGGCAGCTTTTGTTAGAATTTGTATTGAACCACCAGTTTTAGATGGCTTGTTTTAATAGTGCAGAAGGTTATCAAGTGATGTGTATAATAACTCTCCTGAATTTTTCTCTCTAGATTTCATTGGCCAGTGAGAACATATCTCAAGCATGGGAAATATTTTTGCTAACCTCTTCAAAGGCCTTTTTGGCAAAAAAGAAATGCGTATTCTCATGGTTGGTCTGGATGCTGCAGGAAAGACTACCATTTTGTACAAACTAAAACTTGGTGAAATAGTAACTACTATTCCCACTATAGGTAAGTTCTTTAAACAGCTTGTTAAAACCTTGTTTGCTTCTTGAGAGGGCACTGACTAGATAAGTTCAGGCTTGACTGTCTGTAACTCGGAGTACTGCACCCAGGATTGGCTCTGAGTTGGGAGTGTGCAGGCAGCAGTCTCTCCTCTGTAGGTGTAGGAGGAGAATGCATGACTGCTTCTTCCTCCATTCCCTCCCACCAGCCAAGGCATGGAGCAGCCTCTGGCAGTCTGCAGAAGCAGTCTAGCCAGCTCCTGTTAGGACTGCCCTGGTGCGGACTGCTTGTGAGAGTACAGATGGGGAAAATGTTGCATGCTGGGGAGAGGACAGGTACTGTGAGAACATATTTAAAGACCTTACTCGCTGGTTTATGGAATGGATAGATGTAAAGGGCTGTTAGTTCCTTTTATAACTTCTGCTGCTGCAGTCCCAGTTAGGCAGGCTTATAAAGCTCACTGGCTTGTGTTCCCTTTTTTAAGGAGTAAAAAGGCATATCTGTACTGCTGACTTGGCATGCCCCTTCCTGTCCTCTATCTCCCAAATGGGAAGAAGTGTAGGTCCCTTAGTGTCCCCCTATGGAAGGATATTAGCTCTGCTGAGAGGCAGCACTAATTAGCCTGGGTGCAGTGCCACACAGATGCAGGTATACTACTTCTGGTTTGGGAGTAGCATCTGCAAAGTAGCGTAGCATGTTTCAGTCTAGTACCGCCCACTTTTAAGGGCTTTAACTTCATGTTTAAAAAAAAATGTAAGAACCTTCGTGCTTTCATGGGTACTCAACGTGACTGTTTTGTAATTTTGTTCTGTAGCACGAATTGGAAAATCCAGGCCCTAAATTGATCAACTCTTTTCTTACCATTTTTATTTTAGGTTTCAATGTAGAAACAGTAGAATACAAGAACATTAGCTTCACGGTGTGGGATGTAGGTGGTCAGGATAAGATCAGACCACTCTGGCGCCATTATTTCCAGAACACACAAGGTAAGCTGTAAGGGTTAAATCACTTTTGTGACCACAAAAGATCTCTTTGTATGCTTGTTAAACTTGCTCTTAAATTGCTTATCACCTGATAGCAGAAGCCAAACTATTCCGTAAAACTGTCCTTTTTCAAGGAATTGGTTATAGAATACATATTAAACTTCAGTGTGTTTTGGATTCAGTGTCCAAATTAGATTAGTGCAGATGTAAATTGGCACCCATTTCTTTAAAACACATGACAGTAAGCTTCCCTATCCAACTTCGAAAACCAGAGGTCAGCATTTTTCCTCAAGAAGTATTGAAAGCTTGCTTTTAAACAGAGCAGTTGGAGAATACAGGAAAATTCTCTTGCTTTTAAGTGCTTATGATCTGCTGTATAGTGAATTTAAGGCTATGACCTAAGGACTTGAGGGTAAGTCCAAGGATAGCGGTGTACCATTCTTAAATGTATCTCTGGTTACAGGATTTTTGGAGGGATGGGGAGGTTTAAAAGATGGAGGGTGAGCATTTGTTGGCTTTCAGAATTAAACTGCAGGAAACAGGATGGCACAATTTGAGGGGGGGGGGGGAACCTATTCTTATTCCAAATTGGGAAAAACATGCATAGTTCGTATTATTTGGGATTCTTGCATCTGTCAAACAAGGGATTTCAGTAGACTGAGGTGCCTGTTACCCTATGCATGTCAATAAGCTATTTGCTTGAATCTCTGTTTAGTCTTTAAAAATAATAATAATAATTCTGCAGTGTTGGTTTCGCATTTCAGAACAGGGATAGCTTTTACAAAGGAGAAGTTATGCACCTTTTTTGTTATAACTATTGTTTGCTTGTTTATAGGTTTGATTTTTGTGGTTGACAGTAATGACAGAGAACGAGTGAATGAGGCCAGAGAAGAGCTTATGAGAATGTTGGCAGAAGATGAGCTTAGAGATGCTGTCTTATTAGTGTTTGCTAACAAACAGGTATGGCTTAGCAAGTGATCTTAAAGAGGAGCCTTTGAGTTGCAGGTTGCAAAATAGTTTTCCAAAATGGTTGGTACGTAGCAAGATGTGAGACTTTGAACCATTTCGTAACTTCTAATGTGATAAATGAGTGTTTAGCAACATTCCAAATTGACCCTGGCTTCGGCAAACTTGTATGTGGTTCTAGTCTGAAATGTGTCTGTAAGCCTAAATTTCCATATCATTGCCTTGCTGGTGAAGACTTCTACCAATTTTAGTTTATTTGATAGCTGTTTCAGGTACTGCACCTGCTTTGAGCTTCCCTCTTGCAAACAGGAGATTGACTATGTGATGGTGCCACAGTATAAAGTATCCTGAAAAGTTTCACTAACCCTTCCAGCGATGGTATAAACTTAGATGTTAATCATTATAAGTACAGAAATATTCAGGCTCACTCTCAGGATGTTCTAAAAATATTAGGGGTGCACCGATGGAAATTTTTGGGGCTGATATTGATAGCTGATTTTTAAGGAGGCAATATTGGCTGATACTGATCCGATTTGTGATGCGTGGCTTTTCAGCTTGAAGAGCTGCATCCAGCTGGTAAGTCTGGTGTGGTGGGAGGGAAGGGGTGTGGGAGAGCGCAGATCAAGGCATGTGCCATGAGGGAGGAAGTGGGGCTGGAGCATGTGCTACCCAGCTGGGGCAGGAAGGGGCGCAGGACAGCTGCAAGCAGGGGGGCATGTGCCCCGCCCCCCCCCCAGATCTGCGTGAGGTGGGCTACAACTGCAGGCTGGGGCCGGGGCAGGCATGGGACGGAGCCCATGCCCTCCCAGAGGAGTGACAGGAGCCCCCACTACTTTCCCATGTCCCCTGGACAAGCCGCAGCCACAACCCCACACCCTCCCTCACTGCAGGGCCTTGATCTGCCCCCCCCACGCCTCTCACCACACTAGCCTTACCAGCTGCAGGCAGCTCTCCACGCTGCCAGGCTGTGCTCCTCACTGCCTACATGCTGCACTGCGGCTGCATGCACACATGGGCATTTATCAGACAAATTATCGGACGCATCAGGCCAGTTTCCAATACATAACGCTGGTAAGTCTGGTGTGGTGGGAGGGAAGGGGTGTGGGAGAGCGCAGATCAAGGCATGTGCCATGAGGGAGGAAGTGGGGCTGGAGCATGTGCTACCCAGCTGGGGCAGGAAGGGGCGCAGGACAGCTGCAAGCAGGGGGGCATGTGCCCCGCCCCCCCCCCAGATCTGCGTGAGGTGGGCTACAACTGCAGGCTGGGGCCGGGGCAGGCATGGGACGGAGTTGGGGGTGGCTCCTGTTGCTGCATGTGGCTGCGGCTCGTGCAGGGGGCACGGGAAGGGGTGGGGGTTTTACATGGCTTATCTGGTGCTCATCTGGCGGCTTCCGCTGCTGCTCTCACCACTTATCCAGGAGGGCATGTTGGGGGATACGCGTGTACTTCCAGATCTGCGCCGGACAGGCCAAGCAGGCTGCAGAGCTGCACATGGGGCAGGCAACAGCGATGCTGAGAAGGGCACTACAGGGGAGGGGGCTGCAGTCACCCCAAATTTCAATATAGTCCTTGTAGCCCCCTCCAAACATCACTGCTGCCCACCACGAGAGCAGCACAGTGTGGCCCCTGGCCCCAGCCCACAGCTGCACCACACCTGGCCTGTACTGCACAGATTCAGGGGCACACGCTTCTCCCCTCCCCCCGTACCCTCCTAGATGAGCTGCGGGAACCACCTGACAAGCCACTGGATGAGCTGCGCACAGCGGTGGGAACTGCCCCTGCCCTCCCCCCCTCATGTCCCCCAGATCAGCCGCGGCTCCATCCCACTACCCTGCCCCACCCCTGCTCCTCACTGCCTACATGCTGCACTGCGGCTGCATGCACACATGGGCATTTATCAGACAAATTATCGGACGCATCAGGCCAGTTTCCAATACATAACATTTTCTTTATATCAGTGTCAATCTGATATTGGACCGATGTATCGGTGCACCTCTAAAGCTTCTAAATTTGAAGCTTTCAGATTAGGTTTTCCATCTAATTCGTTGTTGCCAGTAAAGTGTTTGGCCACCCAGATTTAGTCAGTAAAACCAGTGCAGCTATGCAAAGATGCATGTATGCAGCTAATTGCACCTGCCTCCTAATGGATAGAAGGAGTAAAATCCCCCTGACTTTGCCTTATTGGCTGCATACACACGGTTTGGAGTGAACTGTACTTCATGCTTTTGCAAAAAAACCCCCAAAAAGTTCCTAGGAATTGAGTTGCAAAGAAAACTTCCTGAATGGAAACTGCCATCCCAGAGTGTCCTTGAGAATTGGGCAGCCTGAAACAATAGCCCCTGAATATATAAACTGTCCTACTCCAGTCTGAGTGTTAACCTGAAACTTCATAAACTTGTGTCCGCTTTTAACTGTTTCATTTATGATCTCTTTGAGAGAGATACTTTGCACATGCAAGTCAGTCTGGTTACAGTCTCATGGCAGCCCACTTCCCTAATTTATAAGGATTTCCTTTTCCACAAAGCAAAGGCTTTTAAAACTAAAGGCTCAAACAGAAAGCTCTTAGAATCATCTCAGCCCATGCTGGAGATGCAGTGCAGTCTTAGTCTGAATAAGAGCAGAGACTTTCAGAGTTGCACAGTTCTTTAGTTGGCAGCAGTTGCAGTTTAAAGCATCCTTACTTTTCTATTTAATCAAATGAGTTCTGCCTCTTCGGCTCACCCATTCTTAAACAATAGTCTTCTAATGGCAGCTTCCACTTTGGGTTTTTATAAATTTGAAACAAAAACTTGCCAGCTTGGGTCTGAAAACTGGCCGGGCTTCATACCAACTATCGAAGGCGTTTCATGAAGAGCAGCCATATTTGATACATGAGCTGGGTTATGCTTTGTTTTGTACCTTGATGTGGGACTGCTTTAACTGAAAGGCAGAAAAGGCTCTTCAACATGGAAAATGTTGTCTTTGTCTCCTCTCAGGACCTGCCTAACGCGATGAATGCAGCAGAAATCACAGACAAACTTGGACTGCATTCTCTTCGTCACAGGAACTGGTATATCCAGGCAACCTGCGCCACTAGTGGAGATGGTCTCTATGAAGGACTGGACTGGTTGTCCAATCAGCTCCGAAACCAGAAATGAAACCATAAACCTTCCTCTTCCCTCTTTTTCCACCCTCCCTCTTATTTCCTCCTATTCGCCCTTCGCTTTACTCTAATGTGGCAAACTGTGCTACTTTGTGGTATTGAGTGCCGGAAGCTGTTTTCATTTCTTTTGTCACAGTATATATTGCACCATGCTGTAAATGTGGCAAATACAAGCCTGAAAACAGTTAGGTTTCTTATTTAATGTAAATAGTTTTTGTTTCCAGTGAGGCAGTTTCTGGTACTCCTATGCAATATTACTCAGCTTTTTTATTGTAAAGAATCAACTCACTGTTTAGTACTGGGAAGGGAGTTCAGTGGATTAACATGGGTTGCCAGTGGTCAGCATGCAGTAGAGCTGAGTACTATCTCTATTGGGTTGTGAGATCTGTGAGATCCATTTTGATGGTTGGTTTTTAACCTGAAATCTGTATTTTTTAAATAGTCAAAGAAAAGTAAAAACACTTAAGCGCATGAGCATGTTTAACACAGCTTCTGCGGTTCGACCTGGAATACCAGTTATTTTAATTCTTGTGAACGTTGAAGCGGTGATGACACCATCCAAGCTTCAGCTGGGTAAAATACAGATTGATGTGCAACTGCTACATCTCTGGATCTTTCTAGAGTTCATAATGTTTGTGTTCATATTTATTCGTACGTGGAGACTTGTTCAAAGGTTTGTCTGAGCTGGTCCAAAACATTTTGCAAACAAATTTCACGTTGCTTAAAACGCTAATGTACTTTGGTTTCAGGTAAGGTTGATGCGACTTCCATCAGACTTGAATAATTCCTGGAAGGGTCACATTTTTAGCCTGTTAGATTCTGTCATCCAAAGTGTTTTGTACTTTTCTCGTGTGTAAACCACTCCAGAAGGCAAACCTTTCCACAGAAAGCACAGCCTATTAGTCCTAAGCTCTATAGACAGAAAGTACTGTACTTAAGTAAAATGCCATGAAAAAAACACCAAACATCTATGTATAGTGTCTAGAAAAAAGCATGAGAGTTTGGAGTCATTCCATTCTAGAAGTATTCAATCTCATTTTGGAACAATCCCATATCTGTATATGTGTGAAAACCCTTGGCATCCCTCATTACTGCAAGGTTCAGATTTGCCATCAGAAAAAAGACCTCTTTACTTTTCTTTTGTATTTTGATAAACACTGAAGAAGCTGGAGCTGTTGAAAACTTTAACTTGAGGAACTATCAGAACTGGTTTGTTTAGTGTTGTGGAAACCTTTATTGCTTTCAATACACAGTTAGTAATCAACTGTTTTGTATACTTGTTTTCAGTTTTCATTTCGACAAACAAGCACTGTAATTAAAGCTATTAGAATAAAATCTCTTAACTATTTCATGTTTTTTACGCCTTGCTGTTTATTCGATCACCTTGGCGGAATCATAATGAGAATACTTGTTGAATAAAATGTTTCATGAAACTTGTGCCAGCATTCGGTTGTTTTGCATCGCCTCCTGTGTAGTGCAAAAGGTCGCATCCGTTCCTAAGGAATACCTTGCCCGGGAGGTCAGGCCAGGCATTTTTTTTGCCTTCAAATATGGTGAAATCCAAACGTCTTGTTATCTGGACTCTGCAAGCCAGCAGCATTACTCACTGTTTAGTTAACTAAAGTACAAAATCTTTCCTCTTTCCAGGCAGGTCTCCTGGGGCGGTTGGTCATCAGCTCTGCCTCCAGCTTTAATTCTGTTAAAAATGCCCTACCTATAGAGTACATGATGCGGCTGCTGTGCTGTCCCTGTGACTACAGTACAGCCTGGCTGGGAGCCAGCGCAGACGTGCTCCACCCGGGTAAGGAATCTTGCAGCATGTTGGTTTCAGACGCGTAGCAGGAAATAGGCCTCCGAGGGGCTGAGTCAGAGGAGCTCCACAGAGGCGGCTGCTGGCCTTCCTGCTCTGTATCTACTCCCTGTTTTTGCTGAAGCTGAAAGGCAAGGAGCGGGGCTGTGAGCTTGAGAGGCTTAAAGATCCTTGGAGGTCTCTGCTACTGGAAGAGGGGATTGTAAATCAGAGGGAACGGATGGCTCAGCTGCCCTTACGGAGGGATGTGAGGAGAGTGGGTTTGGACTGGGAAGACTGGAGGAAGCAGGAACCTAGACTCTAGATTAAAGAGTATGGGAAGAAACTGGTAGAGAAAACTCTGGGGGGACTAGTTCACTTGTGGCTGCCCATTTCACACTCATCCCTTAACTCTGGTTTAAACCGTCTCCACTGTACATGTGTGATGGGGTCCTAGCTTGCCATTCGTGGCAGAAAAGCATGGAATCCCTGGGTTTTTTTCACAACCTACCAAAAGCGCACCGGCATCCCGCAGTGAGCGGCTCTCTTGCCGTGGTTTTTGCCTCCTAGCCAATCAGCAGTGGGGGTGGCACGGTGCCGATTGGCAGACAGAAACCACGGCAGAAATGGCACTGCTCACTGTGGGATGGCACCGCATTTTCCATAGGCTATTGATGTTTTTTAGATGGAGTTTTTATGCTTTTTCCCCTGTGGAAAATTAGGATCCATGGTGATGATAAAACCATCTTGGCCCGGGTGGTTGGGACCTTGACGTGTAACAGACTTTCCCTCCTCACGGCAAACCATCAGCAGAGCAATGTCAGAGAGACCAAGCTGCATCCATAGTAGAGCCGCTCTGCTGTTTCCACAGGGTGACTTGAGCTTTCTTAGCTTACGGCCCCTTTCTGTGCCCCCTCTGCCCTTGCCAACTAGGCACTTGCTATTCAGGAGTAAAGAATGTCTCGGTGCTGGCCGAGAATGTCTCGGTGCTGGATGCAGCTTGGCAGGAAGGACGCATGGCCCTGACTTTGGCCATTACTAAATGGTTTCAATGGTGTCATTTGCTTTGGCAGATCGGAGCTATTTTTGAGGTGCAGGTCCCCATCTGCAGCACGGGGAATTGTGCTCCTTCCCCATCTCGCTAGATGACAACCTGTCCAAGGTGCAGGGGATGTCCCTTCACCAGTACTTGTCTTGTGCCTAGTACAATGTGATCTTGATCTTCACAAGGCCTTCCACGTTTTACTGTAAGATTGTGAAAGCGCAGTTCAGCTGACTGCTCCCTCCCTCGGGCGCAGAGTGGATTACTTGTTGCATCTGCTTTCTCCTGGGGCCTCCAGGCTGGCAGCTGCTGCGTAGCAGGGGCAGCTGTTTTTGGTTAGCCTGGCTTCCAAACAAAGCACTGCTTTTCCAAGGTCTGTCTGTCTCGGACATCCTCCCAGTCAGCCCTATGTGAATCAGCTTGCTTCCGTCATGAGATGACTAGCAATAGAGAGGTGGCAGGGGGCTGTTATTCTAGGCAAAGTGAAATATTCCCTGGAACATCCTCGCTGCTGCCTGAATTGCAAGCCCAGCTTGGGGTCATAGCCGGGAGGGTACTTGCTCCTGGCTGCCTTTGGTGGAGAGCTGAACTTCACAAGTCTGCTCTTGCACTGGTGCAAATGGCTGCAATGTCACTGGAATCGCTGCAGCTGCTCTCTCCCGTGGCACAGGATCTGCTCTGAGCTCATCTCGCCCACCCAGATGGAGTGGGAGGCCAGTCATGACTCAGTGCCCCACTTCCATCTGTAACAGGGATACTGCTTGCGCTAGGAGCCCTGCAGTGCTGTTCCTAGCATGAGGTGTGACTGTGTGCATGTCTTGTGTCGGAAGGAGGGACTTGCAGCTGGGGACCAGGGGAAGGATGCTGCGGGGGAAAGGAAAGGTTGTCCTTTATGATCAGTGGCACTGAGGGCACAGAGAACATCATGCTCTAAGCGCTGCAAGCCTGGGATGAGAGAGGCTGGGAAGGAGGGGGCAGCAGGAGTGGCCCATGGCTGGCTCTTTGGGCACAAAGGGGCTTGCAAACCGCCCCATGATGGACACGGCAACCTGTTCCCTTCATCTCTTCTGGTACCAGTAGTGCAGGATTCGTCCTCTCCTCCCAGGTTGGAAGGAGGAAAATAAGTTTCCCCTTGTTATCTGAGCTCACTCGCTCTTTCCCCATCTTGGACAGCTGTGGCCTGTCAAGGCCAGTGTACGTGCTGTCTGAGCTCCACACTGCTGGTTTTCACTGCCCTGCTTGTCTGGGTGCAAAGGTCTCTGCCACCCATGGGTGCAAATGCCAAGGCAAAGGCTGATGGTGTCTCCTTGAGCCCCAGAGAGATCAATGGATGGCCCTGCTCCTCCCTGCCACCCTGGATCCCAGCGGCCTGGAGGGGTTGGACAGTTGCCCACAGTGCAGAGGAGGACGAGTGATGTTAGGCTGGTTCAGCTGAGTGACAGTGCTATGCCCTGGGCTCGAAGTTGCTCCAGCCTGACCACTGCCTGCCAGTCCTCCCTGCCAGCTTGCAGGGCAGGTGTGGGCAGGGGCTGCAGAGCAACACGTGTGTTGTGCCACCAGCCAGGAGGGGCAAGGGCCAACATTCCCCAGAGGTGACAGCAGCGTCCTAACTGGTGGGCCACAAGCAGCCCTGGGCTGGGAAGGTGGCTTTTATCTCCATCGTTTGTTCCATCCATCCCATCCCGCCAGCCCTGGCTCCCATCCCTGTCACTCCTGGTTCAGCCCCTTTACTCAGGGTTCCCCCAAAACCCGACTTCAAACCTTCACTCCGTCCACCAGGCACCAGCCCTGGGATCCCCCAACATGCTGCCATAGGGAGTAGCAGGGAGATGAAGCTACTGCTGCGAGAGGGAAGCAATAAGGACAAATTTCACCCCTATCGAGCCCATGCACCCAGCAGCTTCCTTGGGCTATAGTGGCCCTGGCTTGTGTCCAGATTGGGGGTGGGGTGAAAACAGAGATACTGCTGCTGTCCTTACTGCCTGCCTCGTAGGGGGAGGCTCTGCCCTGGAGATTGATTCTTAAACCATCAATTTAATCATGACTTTAATAGGTCTCGTAAAACCCAAGAGGCTGTAAGGGGACCCCAGGTGTTGGGGACCCACGGGGAAAAGGACCTGGCAGAGCCAGGAGATGTGTGGTAGTGTACAGCAAAGGGGCTGAGCGCAAGGTGAGACGTGAGCTGAGGCTCATCCCACTGCTGACACCAAGCCTACGGTGGCAGTGGAGCTTGGTCTCACAAAGGTGAAGCTTGTGGGGAGGGAGATGGAGACTGCAGAGCCTGCGATAAACCAGGCGGGGCAGGGAGGGGACGTGCAGCCGTAAGCTGAGAGGGTGAAAAGAGCTATTTTGGCACTAGGCAAAGAGCAGAAGGAGCCTCCCGTGGCTGCATCGAGGCAGGGAGTGTGTGCTGCAAGGTGGACAAGCAGCAGGCAGACACCATTCAATAAGGCCAGACCCTTGCCGGCTCCTTGAAGTACAAATGCAGAAGTAGCCGGTTGTGGCCAAAGCCACCCCTGAGGACCCCAGGAAAGAAAGGACATTAGGGGCCAACTCTGTGTAATCCTCATGCAGACTCAGCACCTTTCTGCTGAGGGTTCAGGGTTAAGTAACAGCCAGGCCCGGACACCTCAAACAAGCCTGTGCCCCCGCTTCATGCTAGGGGCTTTACAAACTAAGAGCAAGGCAGAGGCTGTCCCTGCTCTGCGGAGCCTGCCATCCAAGCCAGCCGGACAGGCAAGGGTGGCAAGGGCACATGGCCCCCGGGCTGTGCCCTGCTGCTGTGAGCCCTCCTCGCTCAGTCCCTCCTGCTCCACCAGTGCCATGAAGCAAAGGACGGAGAGAAGGATGCTGAGCATATGCCCAGCCCCACGCGCAAGCACCGTGCTTATTGGCACAGGCTCAGACAGGGACACTGGCTTGTGTCTGGGGCAGGCTGTGGGTGGAGCAGGGCTGAGCGGCAGGTGCGGCTCTCAGGGGCACCTTGCGGGTCTCATTCTCCCAGCACGGCCAGCCATCCAAACCCCAATGGGCTGAACCCCTGTGGCCGAAAGTCCTGGTGGGACAAGCTCCTCGGAAACTCCCATCAGCACATGGAGACTCAAAGCTTCCCCATGTAGACCCCCTCCTACCAACATGCCTCCGTCTCTGGGAGGAAACGCTGCACATGAGGATTGCATTAGCGTCTGTACAGGATGCCACAAAGGACAAGCACGTGCAATTCCTCATTGCAGCAGAAGCAAAAAAGGACGCCGAAGAGCAGTCTGTGGCCTCAACCTATGGATTAAGACCCCCCAACATAAAAGCTAGAGCACTGGATCAGTGCTAACGCACGTTGCCAGGACCTCTGTTCCATCTGAGCTGACAGACGCAGCCAGTATCGTGGTACCTGGGGTGGGTATTTCTTTCCAACTGTAGCTACAAGAAAGAATGGGTGAAGCCATGTGCCCCATGGGAAGAAGTTTCTCCCCTTGGGAAGTATGGTCCAATGGACAGATCTCTGAGCCATGAGTCCTGTGTTCTCTACCTAGCTGTGCTGCTGGGTGAGCTGAGACATGGTAATGTGCCTCGGTTTCCCTCTCTGTGAAACGGGGGCAATGATCATTG